CTTTCCTGTTTACCCGTTCCCATACCCTCCAAAGCAAACATTGTTCTGATTTTTTTGGTTTTAGCTTGACCTAGAACTTAATTTTAATGGAGTCGTACAGTTTATACTCTTGTGGAAGGGTTCTTTAAGTCAGCACAGGGGACACCTGGATGGCTCAGTCAGTTAAGTGTCCGACTTTGGCTCAGGTCATGATCTCGCAGTTTGTGGGTTCCAGCCCCATGTCGGGCTGTGTGCTGACAGCTCAGAGCCTGGAGCCTGCTTCAGATTCTGTGTCTCCCTCTCTCTCTGCCCCTCCCCTGCTCACTCTCTGTCTCAAAAATAAACACTTAAAAAAAAAGTCACAGTAATTTTGAGTTTCATCTATGCACCTATGTCAGCACATTCCTGTTTTATGCTGAATAATATTCCATTTTATAAATATTCTTAGAGACGTGTGCTGTTTCCAGTTTTTGGCTCTTATGAGTAGAATCGTAAGATTATTTTTATGACATATGTTTTCATTTCTCTTGAGTAAGTACCTAGGCATGAAATGCTGGTTCAGAGAGGATAGAAATAGGTTAGTTTTATAAGAAACAAATGTGTTTTTGAAGCAGGTGTAGCATTTTACATCCCCACCAACAAGGTATGAGTGTTCCAGTAACTTCACATCCTGGCCAACATTTCGTGTTGTCAGTAAAATACAAGAATTTTACTGTCCTCGTAGATGTGTAGTTGCATTGTGGTTTTAATTTGGATTTTCCCCGTGACTAATGATGTTAAACATCTTTTTATGTACCTCTTGTCATGTGTTTATTTGCCATTCCTATCTATCTCTTTGTTCAAGGGGTGGCAAACTACAGTCCACTGACCAAATCCAGCCCATGACCTATTTTTGTAAGGCTTCTTGAGCTAGGAATGTGTTTTACAATTTTAAAAGGTGTTTTAAAAAAACTTTTTTAAAAGGGGGGTATGTGGTCTACCAAACCTAAAATATTTTACAGGAAAACATGTGCTTGACACTACTTTGGGTTTAAAGCACGTGTGTTATATATTGCATGTTGTTGGGTATTGATTTTTAAAATTATTATGCTAATCTCTGCCTCTTAGTTGGAGTTTTTAGTCCATAAACATTTGATGTAATTACTAAGTTCTGTGTCTACCATTTAATTATTTGATTTTTTGTTCTGTTTTTGTTTCTCTCTTCCTCTTTTTCTGCTTTCTTTTAAATTATTTATATATTTTCACAATACCATTTTAAGTCCTCTCTCGGTTTTTCACTATACTTTCTTACATTATTTTTAGTGGTTGCTCTAGGGATGATAATCTACCTACTTAAAATTTCACAAACTACTCAGAATTAATATTGTACCATTTGATGTAAGATGTAGAAGCCATGTGCCTGAAAAAGTCCATTAATACCCATTGCCTTTTATGCTATTTTCATATTGTGCTTACATGTATTATAAATGCCACATGACAATGTTATATAACATTTGTTTTAAATAATCATATATTTCAAAAGAAGAGGGGGGAAAGTCTCTTATGTTTACCACTTACCATATCCGATACTCTCCAATCCTTCCTGAGGATCTGAGTTTCCATGAGAGCATTTCTTATAGCGTAGATCTGCTGGCAGTAGATTCTCTTTATTTTACTTGAAAATTTCTTTATTTCATTTTCATACTTGAGGAATATTTTTGCTGGTTACAGAATTCTGTGTTGGTGATTGTTTTCTTTCAATGCCTTACAGTTTTTTGAAGTTTATTTTGAGAGTGAGAGCATGAGTAGGGTAGGGGCAGAGAGGGGACAGAGAGAATCCCAAGCATGCTTTGCATTGTCCGTACAGAGTCTCATATACGGCTTGAATTCACAAACCACGAGATCATGATCTGAGTCATAACCAAGAGTTAGTTGCTTAACTGACTGAGTCACCCAGGTGCCCCCTTTCAGTGCTTAAAATGTTGTCTCTGGGGCACCTGGGTGGTTTGGTCAGTTAAGCGTCTGACTCTTGATTTCAGCTCAGGTCTTGATCTCACAGTTGTGAGTTCGAGTCCTGCCTTGGTCTCTGCACTGGACATGGAATCTACTTTTTAAAAATGTTGTTTTGTTGTCTTCCAGCCCCCACAATTTCTACAAAAAAATTTTTAAAAGTTTTTTAATGTTTATTCATTTTTTGAGAGAGAGAGAGAGAGAGAGAGAGAGAGAGTTTGAGTGGGGGAGGGGCAGAGAAAGAGAGAGACACAGAATCTGAAGCAGGCTCCAGTCTCTGAGCTGTCAGCACAGAGCCTGACATGGGGCTCAAACCCATGAACCATGAGATCATGACCTAAGCTCAAGTTGGACGCTTAGCTGACTGAGTCACCCAGGCACCCCTGGCCCCCACAGTTTCTGATGAAAAGTCATCTTTAATTTAAATCATTGTTTTATTGTATGTCATCTGTTACTGCTTTCAGGGTATTCTCTTTAACTCCCCTTTTGAGGAGTTTGACTCCTTAAGTATGGGTTTCTTTGTATTTATTCTGGTTGGGTTTGACTGAGCTTCTTCGAGCTATAAATTGTTCTGTCACCAAACGGGAGATTTTTGGCCATTATTTCTTCAAATATTCTGCCCCATTTTCTTTCACCTTCCTTCTCCTTCTGGGACTCTAATTACATGTATGTTAAACTTTTTGATATTGTCCCATAGATCTCTGCAGATGTGTTCATGTAAACAAATTCTCTTTTTGCTTCACTTGGGTCATTTCTATTGATCTGTCTTCAAGTTCACTGTCTCTTTGCTCTGTTATCTCTGTTCTGCTGTATTAGTTATTTTTTCCAGATTTTTTTTAGTTACATAAGTTCCATCTGATGATTCTTTTTCTTCCTCTTCCCCTCCTCCACCACCTCCTCCTCCTTCTCGTTTACAATGTGTGGTTCTCTGCTGAGATTTCCTAGCCTTTCATGAATTGGTAACAGATTTCCTTTAACCCACAGAGCACAGGTATAAAAGCTTCATTGAAATTATTATCTGTTAATTCCAACATCTGTGTTGTTATATGACAGTTTCCGTTGGTTGTCTTTTCCCTTGAAAGTAGATCACATTTTCCTAATTCTTTGTATGTTGAGTAATTTTGGATTGTGCTCTGGCTAATATGAATGTTCTTTTTTAGAGATTCTGAGTTCTCTTATATTATTCTAAAAAGGATTTTTTAAAGCAAGCAGTTAACTTGAGCTAAACATGAAAACTGTTTAAGAGCCCAAATCTTTGGGTGCCGGGGTGGCTCAGTCAGTTAAGTGACCAACTCTTGTTTTGGCTCAGGTCATGATCTCACGGTTTGTGGGTTCAAGTCCTGCATCAGGCTCTGTACTGTGGAAGCACAGAGCCTACTTGGAAGTCTCCCTCTCTCATGTGCCCCTACCCCACATGCACGTGTGCTTTCTCTCTCTCTCCCTCTCTCAAAATAAATAAACTTAAAAAATTTAAAAGCCCAAATCTCACTTTAGTTGTTTCATCCTCAGTTGAGCTGTTTGCAGTCTGCCCCATGCATGCTTGGCTTAGGGGTCAGCCAGCGGTTTGCATAGAAGTGGGGCTTTCCCTCCCTGTAGCAACTCTGGGGTGGTTCTTGCTGCAGGGAAACTGGCAGGGCCAGGTGCACAGAACATCTTTCACTGCCAGCTCCAGCTGCCACACCTTTGGATCTATTGTGACATTCATTCCTGCCAAGGCCATTTTCGTCGTTCCTGCCTGATGCAAGATTTCTATAGTGCGCCACTTTTGTTTGAGGACACTGCATTAGCTGGAGTGAGGCTTTCATGGAGGTGCCCTGCAATCTGGAGCCCATTTACCCAGTCCTTCCTTCCCTCTCCCTTTCCCCCTGCAGTGTCGGACCTGCATCACCCTTCCTTTTCCTTCCTTTACTCACGTGGCCTTGCCAGTTCTACAGGTTCATACACTGGCCCTCACAGGGACATGGAGCTGAGTGAGTGCCTTTACCACAACCATAGGTCTATGAAGTCCATCACCAAAGTCACTCAGTGTGGACAGTTCTCAGAGGGATGGAAGGGAGTTCAGGCCAGTAAGTGTCGGAGCCTCACTTTAGTACCCGTCCCAATGGTCAAGTTTCTTTAAAGGGTCATGTGGTTTCAGTAGCACGTGCATGCCTTCTCTTGTGCTATATTGGCTCTGGCGGAAGCCTTTTACCTAGACATTGAGCTTGTGGCCCAGCAAATGAGTATACTTTCCAGAAACTCTGGAGACCCTGCTGATGATTCTGAAGCCAGGGGCTGGGGGTTATAGGTCGGGTCTGTGTGTAGGAGGAGGACACAGTGGGTCAGCCCCACACTCGGGGCTGTTCTGCTTCTTAGGTGTGGGGAAAAAATACATTTTATTTTATATTTTATTTTTAAATTTTATTTTAATTTTTTCTTTAATTTTTTTAAGTTTATTTCTTTATTTTGAGAGAGAGAGAGAGGATCCCAACCAGGCTCTGCACTCTCAATCTCCCCAACTGTGAGATCATGACCTGAGCCAAAATCAAGCACCAGACATTTAACTAACTGAGCCACCCAGGTGCCCCAAGAAAGGCATTTTAAAAGTCATTTTGAATCCTCTCTCATTGGAGAAAACATTCCCCAGCTTCCAAGACAGTGCTTAGAACCTGGCAGGTGCTTGTAGGACAGTGAGGAAGCAGCAGGCTGGTACCTTGTGCCAGCCCTGGGCCACACAGGAAGGTGGGTGAGGTCCTGGTCCTCCAGGGGCTCTGGGTCCAAGCGAGAGACCGTGTGGGAGGATAACAACAGAGGTTCGGACAAAGGCCTGGGAGACAGATGAGCTCTAGGCGATCAAAGATGCCTCTGGGATGTGTTCTGAAGCAAAAGTAGGAGTTTCTGGGAAAAGAAGAGGGAAAACCACCCTCTATCCAGATGGGGTTTGAGGGGAAGGCTCTTACTTAGATGGAACCACAGTGATTACGGCTTTTCTGTGGGGAGAGGGGATGTGAGCCGTTTGGGGGTGATTGGAACATGATATGCGGAAGGAGACCTATTTTAAATGCACTCCTTTATTTTTATGACAACCAATTCTTAATTCATTCCCCAAGGGTTTATTTGGGTACTTAATATATGCAAGAAATTGGACCAAGCATAAATAGAACAGAAAATAATCATTTCCATGTCTCCCAGTAAGAACAAGCATCTACCAGTCGTCCTGACTTGCTGAGTGGTGCGGAAGCACTGAGCTAGGTGTAGGCAGGAAGCTTCACAGTCCTGCTCTGTGTAGGAGGCATCCCGCGGCGTATCCACATTGATCAAAGTATAGGATTCACTAAAGACTGAGGAACAAACTGGAAAATACACCGAAGCTTAAGCTGAATGTGGCCCAACCTGGGCAGCCTTTGGTTTGAAGCCAGTCAGCCTGGGGCCTGAGGGTGGAAGTGCCAGGAATCCTGGCACCCTCGGCGGAGCTGGCAGGTCTGCCCCAGGGCCGCCCGGTGTACCTGCCCACCTGGGCAGGCTGGAGTCTGACTGCCGAGCCCAGTCGCAGGCAGCTGGCCACCTACAAGTGAGACTGGCTCAGGTGGTCACTTAGATGGCCACACTATTGGGAATCCGGTCTGGGGACAAGTAGTAATATGGCAGCTTCTTGTTTTTGTTGCGCTCGGCAATCACGCTGACAATGGTGTCGAGGTTCTTGCGGAATCGGGCCATAGCCTCTTTTACAGGCTTCTCGATGAAGTGCTCTTCTGGGTACATGCCCAGGAATAGCTAAGGGCCCAGACACAGATGGACAGACAGGTTAATCTTGGACAAGGGGATGTAAACTGACAGGCCTTGCTTGTCTCACCCCCATAGACCATCCCTTGGAAAGTGAGCAAGGGAGCATGTGCTCATCTCCCCCTCACCACCCCCTGCCTCCTGCTGAAAGTACCCCAAGAATGCTCCTGGGCTGGGGTCTTCAAAGGAATGGGCAAAATAACTGCCGTGCTATGGGGTGGCCACAACGGTGTGTAATGGTGCAGTGAATGCAGACGCTGTCAGTGGCCTCAGCTGTGCTGGGCATGTGGCCATGCAGTCCTGCTCGGCCGTGTCCTCTGTAGCATCCCTGCCTTTGCATCTGGGCTCCAGGCAGCAGGGGCACAGGGCTGGCGTCTCCAGCCCAGGACAGCCATGGCCACACCCCATTGGGATGCTGTGCTCATTTGTACACTCACACCGTGGCTACAAACTAAAACTAGACATCTATATATATATATTTTTTAATTATTGGGTTGTTAAAATTGGAATGTTTCATACCCAGGGCTGGAAAGGGTGGAAGTTTGGGCTTAGTCTGTGGAGGGCAGATCAATCTCAACATTCTTTGGCCCAGAAATTCCTCTACCAGGAACACATCCTCTGGCCCCACTGAACATGTGTGCAAAGACACATATACAAAGAAAGATGTTAGTGAGGAACCAACATATTTGCAAAGTCCCCAGAGCAACCTAAATGTCCCCTAAAATGCCCACATGTTTGGGGATGATTGAACTGGTAGTCATTCTGTGCACTACTGACCAAATGCCATGGGGTTGTGGCTGAGATATGGATATACCCAGCTTTGACATTAGGTTAAATAAGGTGTGTATGTGCATGGGAATGTCTGGAAGGATACCCAGGAACTTCTTAGTCGCTACCTCCGGGGAGTCACCAGTGGAGCAGAGTGCCTGTGCTCTCCTGTCCCTTCCCCGTCCTGAGTTCCATCCAGGTGCAGACCCCAGAACCTCCTGGGCACCCCCAGCCCTGAAGTCAGGATTCCCGGAGAACAGGCATCCAGCCTCAGCCCTTAATCCCAAAGCCCAGAGATGGAGAAATGGGCTAAATCCGGGTAACCTGTCCCTAGAAAGGGCAGAATGGTGTCCAGTGCTCACCTCATTGTCTTGGAACTGGCTTAGGGCCCACACTGCGCCCAGATGCCAGCAGGAGCGGCCACGGTCTGGCAGTGTATCCACGATCTGCTCGATTGTCACCACACCTTTGGCTGTTGGCGGGGGGGCCCGCATGGTTGGGGGGGCATTGGGGATCCAGGAGCACCAGTCATACTGCAGGACACATGACACATGTGGGTGCCTCCTCAGCCAGCTGTCACCCATATGCGGCTGGACATGCCCCTACCTGCCCCACAGAGCAACTGCTGGTGCCTCCCACCCTCCTTCTCCCTCTCTGTGCTCCAGCAGGACCGGGCCACAGTTTTCCACTCTGTGGCTGGCACCCTTGGCTTAGTGGACAGAATACACTCAGGGAACATGTAGTTTCTGGCCCCAAGGCTGCTGGAGATCAGCCCCAGAAGACTAGGAAGAGGAGTGGCCCTCTCTGGGCCCATCAGGAGCGGTCAAGGTGACTCTGGCAATTTCCTGCCCAGATGACTCATCCTGCCTTTGCCTACCTGGCCGAAGTTCACGGCTGCATGCTGGGCTGAGGCTGTGAAGATCACTACTGTCAGGTACTCCGAAAGGTTCTCTCTGGTCTTGATGGACTTGGGGAAGCCTAAGGCAGAGTCAGAGGCTGGCTGGGGATGGCCTGATAACCCACAGGCACCCTCTTCCCAACCCTAGCCCAGGCCTTGAGCACCCCCACACATGGGCTTGGGGGGGCCCAGGCATGGTCAAGACACTGAAAGGGTTGGCCCAGTGTTCCTGATGTTTCTGACCCTGATGTTTCAATAGCTGCAGAAAGCCCCTGAGATGTCCCCCAAAGACATTGGTGGGCAGGGGGGGCTCTGGGCCCAGCACCAGGTGCTAAGGTGGATGCCATGGGTCAGCATTGCCTGAGGAAAGTCAGAGGTGAGGAAAGAGCAGAAGAGACAGCCAGGAGGAGAGCTGGGGCGGTCTGTACCTGAGGTCTTCTTGCCCCGCATGCCATACACATAAACGTCCTTCACAAAGTCCTGCAGCTCCTGGTCCTCTGCCACCACCTGGTCACTCTTGTAGTAGATGCCTACCACCTCGGCCGTGAACCTGGCTCAGGAGGAGGGGCCCAGCTCGGAGTGGGTGACTTGGCCAGGGTTTGCAGAGCTGGGTTCCTGAGCTCAGGGTAAGGGCACCACTGGTGACCCTTTGACTTATTCCTTAATATCCAGGCTCAGGTCACTTGCCCCCACCCCCACCCACATACCTTCCTTCCTCTATCACTGCCCTCACAATGGAGTCATCCACTGGCCCACTGAGTCAGTTGTCAATGCCTCCTGCAGGACCCCTGCTCATTCTGCACAGAGCGGGTCCCACAGCCCCAGCATGTACTCACGTCTTGATGGCCTCCCACACCAGGAGCCCGTCATCCCGGTAGAAGTAGTAGGGAATGTCCTCTGTGCTGTCCATACCCCGAGCTTTGATGGCCTCAGGGAAGCACAGGGAGGTATAGGTCAGGTCCTGCATGGCCTTCTGCACCATCTGCACGTGTCCACCACCCCCTGTGGCATTGGCCTTGAGTGGGAGGGGAGAGAGCACCGTGAGCTGAGGTCAGTTGCTCTTTTCCCTTCTTGCCCAGACCTCACCATGAGAAACCATGAGCGGGTACTGGGAGACCAGGCACATGGAGGGGCAAGCCCACATCCTGTGGGTTTAGGAGGTGGGGTAGGAGGGATGTTTAGTTCTGAGAATGCCAAGGGCAGCCCAAAGAGGTGGCTCCAGAGAGGCATGTCTGCCTGATCTCATGTAAGGCACCGCAGTGGAGGGGAGTGTGCAAGGGTGGGGGGGAGGGGGGGAGGGCAGCTGTGGGAGGGCGGGGCCTGCTCTGGTTCTGAGCACAGGCTGCCCTGGGTGGAGAGAGGAGCAGATACCAGCTGCCAGGACCCACACAGCTCTTTCAAGGGCCTGTTGTGTGCTTAGGTGAGGGCTGGAGAGAGGCCCAAGGAGGGATCCCGGTCCTCATCCCAGCTGCTGAGATGTAGGCACTCATGGTGGCTGAGCAGTCGGGCCCCAGAAGCTTCAAGGAGGACTTGGGTACTGGGGTGCCACACATGGGGCCACAGGTCACTTGACCTAAGCTGGATTGATCAGAGTTGCTCCCTGGACTATATGGATGGGGGAGGATGGTCACCACATGGGAACATGAGCCTGGAGCTCCCTGTAATGAGGTCCCATTCCCCCGCCCATGTCTGTCTACAGAGCCTGGCTGGGAGAAAGACCGACACAGTTTTTAAAGACTGGAAGAGTGCCAGCCAGTGTGCTTGTCCCCTGGGGCCATTATTTGAGTCCCTGGGTCCATTTTGGGAGGGGTCGGAAACTCCCTCACCTCACTTATGTGCAGGGTTTTGAGATACTACACTTCTTTTCCAGCTTCAGCTGCTGTGACTTGGGTTTTGTCATTTGCAACCCAAACGATGGCTGAGGCTTACTGGTGACCTGGCTGCCTCACTAACGGGAGATGGGAGAGGAGGAAGGGCAGTGGTGAAGGCTGCCGGGAGGGTCCAGGCTTGGTAAGGCCACAGGGGTCAGAATGGGCCAGGTGCCGCCCAGGAGAACATGAGCGATGGGAAGGAGGGGTGGGAGGCAGGGTCTACACCTACAAGCTAGAAGATGAAGGAGGAGCAGGAAGAGGCAAGAGGGCCAAACCGGCCGGGCAGGGGAAGAAGTGGTGAGACTCGGGCAGTACATTCCAGAGAGGAGAGGTCCCTGGTGTGGAAGGCGCCAGAAGCTGGCCAGAGGACCTGGGGCGTCTTCCCTCTGAGTGCCTCCTCCAGCCTCCCACCCTTCCCAGCCATCCACCACCACTGCGGTGCCTAGGGGCCTGTCTCCTGAGAGGCAATCTGGTGTGGGGGTGGAGGTGTGGAGAAGTGGGGCCCTGCAGGGGGTGGGTAGGAGGTGCTCACCTTGTCGAAGAGGCCGTACTCGCAGATGAGCTGCTCGCGGGCCTTGGTGTTGATGGCAATGGTGAACCGCACGTGTGCCACCAGCAGCTGGGGGAGCGGAGAGCAAGGAGAAGGCCTCAGAGAAGGCCAGGCCAGGCCTCCTGACCAGGTCTGTACCTCCCAGTTGCCCCCAGAGACCCCTCCAGGTCCCACACCCCAGTCCACTGAGGAGGAGGGGTGATGCTAGGGCCGAGGGAGGAAGTGAGGGTCGCCATGCTGAACTTCACTGCTGAGTAGCTTTCGGAGGCCTGGGGATGCAGCTTCCATGTTTCAGCTCATAGTGACATGAGAATGATAAAATGATAATAGTGAATACTCGGACAGAGCTTAACTATGTATGAGGCACTGTTTTAAGCTCCCTGAAGTTGTTAACTATTTTGATTCTGACAATAATCCCATGAGGCAGATGTATTATTTGCTCTGCTTTACAGATGGGGAAACAGGCCCAGAGGGACCTTTAGAGCCTACATCACCCCAGCAGTCAGTGCCAGCAGGATTCAGAAAGAGAGAAGGGCTGTACTACCACCTAGGAGCAGACAGGGGTCACACTGACCTCATTTGCCTCTTCAAACTCTGCTCCCAGGCCAGCCCCAGGCTCCATGTCCTCAGGAACCCGTGGGCTCAGAGCTGTAGCACTGCCTCCAGGGGCCGGTCTCCACTGGCGACTCCCAGCCACAGTCATGTGGGGGTGCCAGTGCCCACCTCCCTCCCTCTGTCCACCTCCATATCCCAATGCCCTCCTCCACCGCGTGAGGCCGTAGCTTGTTGTACCTTGAAAATGGGGTGCACAGCGGGCAGCTGGCGGTACATGGCAATGCCAAAAACTTCAGACACCAGATGCGTGCGCAGAAGGTGGGTGATGGTCTGGTGGACGTGGAAGTCACTGGAGCGCACCCAGATTTTGGCCAAAAGCCAGTCATATTTTGCATCCGAAGGCAGAAAAATCGGGTTTTTATCTCCTGGGACTTGGTTGAGCTGATACATTAGAGAAAGAAAGTACATGGCAACATTTTGTTCTATATAGCTATAGGAGAGCGCTTCTCAGGAAATCCCGGAAGAATCCAGGCGTCTTAAAACAGTGGTCTTTGAGTCATGAGAGGCTCCTGGAAGAGGGCAGAGGCTCCGGGGTTTGCATTTCCCACCCCAGCGACATGACTAACTACCTGTAGGATGCCGGACACCTGACTGAGCCTCTCCGAGCTCCGGCTCCTCCATCTTTGACACTACCTACCTCCCAGAGTTACGGCACAGCACGTGAATATTGTGGATGAAAACACCAGCAAGGAGCAAGTTGGCGTTTCTACTCTGGCCCCCATCCCTCAACTTCCTTGCCAGCTCGCTCCCTCCTGGTTTCTGCCCACTGCTCTGACTGCTGCTTTTCCGTGGCCCACACTTTCCTCTGTTCTTCCCTTAAATGCTGCTGTTCCCCAACTCTGGATAGTGCTCCTGACTTCCCTCCTTGCCCTCGATGAGCGCCTCCAGTTCCTGGGGCTCTCAGGCGCTCAGGATCCAGTGGCCTAGGTCACAGCCTCTTGAGCCCAGACCTGCAGCTAGTTGCCTCCTATAGGAGAGACCAGGCTTGCCTTCCCCTTTCCAGTTTCACCTCCTAGGTGAGGCCAAAGTGACTTTTTGCCTTTGTTTATGGTATATTTTACCATTTGATTTTTAAAACATTACATAATCAGGGCACTGGTTATGCTTAACTGGTTGTCTCCGTTAAGCATCCAGCTTTGGCTGAGGTCACAATCTTATGGTTCGTGGGTTCGAGCCCCGCGTTGGGCTCACTGCTGTCAGTGCAGAGCCCACTTTGGACCCTCTGTCTCACTCTCTCTCTGCCCCTCCCCAGCTTTCACGCTCTATCTCAAAAATGAATAAACATTTTTTTAAAGTTACATAATTAAATATGCCTATCTTTTCCTTTATAACTTCCAGGTTTCCTGTTTTTACTTTAAAGAGTCTCCTTAGCATCCATATTATACACTGTTCTCCTAAATTCTCTTACTTTTTTCCATTTTAAACTTTGCTTCATCTCAAATTTCTTTCTGTAAATAGTATGACATATGAGTCAAATTTAATCTTTGCCTTACGAGAAGACAATTGTGATAGTACCATTGAAATTCTATCCCTTTTTACTGAGTTGAGAAACCACCATTGTCATACTTTAAATTCTTATGTATTGGGCTTCTTTCTGGCCTCTTTATATACACCGTCCCCCCACCCCCCATCTGTCTGTTATGCATAGCACCTGCCTTCAATAGTGACCTTATGGTATTTCCTACCATGGAGCAAGGAAAGCCTTCCTTGTTTTTTTCTTTTTCAAAGAACTTTTGGCTATCCTTGGACACTTTTTTTTCCATATGAATCTTTAGTTTCTTTTATTTGGTTTTTGTATTTCCCCCTCACCCTCTGCCAGAAAGAGAGAGAGAGAGAGAGAGAGAGAGAGAAGGAAGGAAGGAAGGAAGGAAGGAAGGAAGGAAGGAAGGAAGGAAAAAGAAAGCCCGATTGAAAATTTAATTTTCAGTGCATTAGATTTTAATATGATTAAATTTGGTAGGGCTGACATTTTTATGATATCCACTTTTCTTGTTCAATATGAAAGAAAGCACTTGTTAAGATTTCATTTTACACCCTTTAAAATGATATTATGGTTTTTATTTATATGGTATTATATCATATTGTTAGCATGCAGAAACACAACATTGGTGCATTTTAGGAGTCTATCCAGATGCATTGCTAAATCCATGTATTCATTCTCAAAGCTTTTTGACAAATGAGTCTTAGGTTTTCTTGTTCCACCATCACATTATTACCAAAAGATAATTTTCTCTGCTTTTTTTCTCACATGTTATTTTCTTCTTTCTTGCAGATGCCAGGACCCCCAGGACAGTGTTGAGTGACAGTGGTGGCATCAGTATTCTTACTTATGACTTTAACAGAAATGGCTTCAGGGTTGCCATTTTTGAATGAGATTTCCTGCCTCTGTCACAGGGAAATAGATTCCTTCCATCACATTTTAATAGTTACTAGTTGGGGCTGCTAAATGCTATTAAGTTTCCTGTTGGAGTCAGTTGATACAATCAGAAGCCTTATTGTGTCATGAATCATGTTGGACGTTTTCTTGCTATTGAAACTTCTGGGAATAAACCTTGCTTGGTTATGACCCATTCGTCACTCATGACACTGCTATATTCACTTCGCTAATGTCATGGTTGGATTTCCTTTAAAATCTGTCTTTGTAACTTGGACTAGTCTTCTGTTCAGCTTTTTTGGAGCCTGCCTGTGTCGGGTTTCAGCAGGAAGGTTATGTATGCCAGCTTCAAAGAATGAAGTCAGGCACCCTGGAAATGTGTGCTGTTTACAGGCTAGCTGGAGCTCAGCTGCTCACCACATGGGCCTTTCACCAGTCTAGACATTTGGTCAGCTTCCCAACTGCGTACACGGATATTGGCCTATTTTCTACAATTTCTTCTAATAATTTATCCTTTGCCAGGTTTTTACCCATCTCTTTCAGCTTTCTCATATGTGTTGCCATGCTATTACTCTTTTAAAAAAAAGCACTCTTGTGATTATGTATTCTTATTCCAAATCTTGTAATATTTTGCTCTCTTTTTCCCCTTTCACTAGCTTCATGACAGGGTTATTTATTTTCTTGGACCTTTCAAAGAACCAGATTTTGGATTCACTTGGTTTTATTTGCATGGCTCTTTATAGTTTGCAAAGGTTGCATTTTCAGTAGAGGGAAGAGACTCAGGAACCCTATGACCTCCCCAAGGTCCCACAGCTGCTATCAAGTGGCAGAGCTGGGAGTGAAGCCAGACCCCTGACTCCAGGCCTCTCTAAGAAGTCTCTAGAGCACAGGCTGCTTCCAGATGCCGCCGGTGGTCCATGGCTCCTCTCCTTGGATCTCTGAGCTCCGTTTGCTTCTCTTGCATTGCCCATCTCTCTACCTTTTGATTTTGCTTCAGTTTCTTAAGCACATTGCTTCTCTCTGATAGGCTGGGAATTCCTCTGGGGGACGGTGTGCCCAAGACCAGGTGACAGGGGAGTGCGAACTCCGGAGCCGGGCAGACTGGCATGAATCCTGGCTGTGCAGACTGTGAGCACCTGGGTCTGTGTTCTCATCTGCAGACTGTGATCCACATCAGTGATCCCCGCTCTTGGAGGGTTGTGATGATGATTACGTGAATCAAGGCAGGTCCTGGTCTGAAACCCTGATGGCCGAGTGTTTCAGAATCCAGAAGTTTTTTAGATCTTGGCAGTGCATATACTTCATTATGTGACACCTCTCTCCCCTGCCCTGTAATATTTTACAATCAAGCACACATCAGTATTTCTGTAGTGATACATGTGCATGTCACATCGAATGAGGCAAAGCTTCTAAGCAGTCTCTCCTTTGGGTTCGGAGCAAGTTTTGCTGCCAATGAATCTGCTGCAGAGTTTTGAAAAACCTAGCAGTCTGAGAACTTTTTAGATCTCAGAATTGAGGGAAAAGGATTGTGGACCGTGCAGGCTAACCATCGGGTCAGTCTTGTCACGTGGTGAGCGCCCAGCAAAACCAGCTGCTGTTATGCCCATGGCACTCACTGCCCGGTTCACCGCTGGCTCAAAGTAAAGTGTGCTGAACGCCTGTCTGCCTGTTCCTCACAGGGGCCCCTGGGCAGCAGCCCCTTTCACAGACCTACACCTGGTGTTCTTTCCTGCTGTCTGAAGACCAGTGGCCACAATGTGGTTGGTGCTCTGAGCAAGCCGAGTGCAGCCAGGAATGGGAGAGGTGAGGCTCTGCCCCTGCCTCCTCTCCCCAAACCACTTCTTTCTCCTTCTCCATCCTCCTTGGTAGAGACAACCCGTGGACACTAGAAGGCAGCACTGGGCTGGGTCCTGAACCCAGCCTCCATGATGCCTCCTTGTGGCCTCAGTCTCCAGCGCATCCTGCAGTCTCACGGCCTGGCCCCTTTGGGTGTTTGAACTTGGGGCCAAGGTCAGGATGCTGGGAGCGGGAAGGCGGGTACTATGTTATTCCAGAGCAGGTCCTCAGCAGAGCAGCTGGCTCTGTGGGAATCTGTCCAGTGTATCTCAGGGAGGGGAGCCCTTTGTGCTCCTCATGGACAGCCCTCCCCACGGCTGGCAGGAAGCCCCAAGTTCTTTTTTTTTTTTTTTTAATGTTTTATTTATTTCTGAGAGAGAGAAGAGAGAGAGAGAGAAGAGAGAGAGAGTGTATGAGCAGGGAAGGGTCAGAGAGAGGGAGATACAGAATCTGAAGCAGGCTCCAGGCTCTGAGCTAGCTGTCAGCACAAAGCCCAACGCAGGGCTTGAACCCACGAACCGTGAGATCATGACCTGAGCTGAAGTCGGATGCTTAACCGACTGAGCCACCCAGGAGCCCCAGGAAGCCCCAGGTTCTTGCTTCTCTTGTCCACCCGGCAGAGCCTTCAGCTTTCAGCACCTTCCTAGGAGATGTGAAGCAGAGAGGCCTCCTCCTCCAGGAGGTTCTAGTGGGGATGCCAGAAATTCCTCCCCAAGCCCTGGCTGCCCAGGGCAGAACCGTCTGGAAAGGAGCATGGTGGGCTGCCTACCTGGATAGCGATGGGGACAATCTTGTTGGCCAGATTCTTGTACAGCAAGCAGATGGGCGCCGCAAGGAACTGCAGAGTGCAGGGGTCAGTTTTGTTGGCATCGATGCCATCCAGCAGCTCAAAGTCCACGATGAAAATGTTCCCTTGCTGTGGGAGCAAGAGGAAGTATAGCCACATCAGTCTCAGCCAGAGACGGAGCCAAGAATCAGGCCTACAGGAGGGAGAAGCGGCTTTCGAGTGGAGTTCAGAACGGATAGTTTTGGCCCCTGACTCAAGGCCAATTCACATCAAGAGTTTTTCAGAGGTCGCAGTGGTTTTCCATGAGGTGAAGGAATGGCAGTGGCCGATTCTGCCTTTGTTGTACCTAGAAGCTGCTTGACCTCCCGTGAAAGATGATGAAAGACCACCCAGAGCGGCAGGTTAATAAGAAAGCAGAGAGAGTGCAGATAAAATAGACAAGAGAACATAAATTCCAGAGTGATGCTGCCGGACTCCATTCACATGGTGTTCACAACTGGGCAAACGTGAGCTTCCGGAGGAGAGATGGGCAGGTCTGCAGGGGCAGGGTGTACAGGGGCAGAGGTGTGCAGGGGTGGGGTGTGCAGGGGCAGAGGTCTGCAGGGGTCTGTAGGGATAGGATCTGCAGGGCAGGGGTCTGCAGGGTCCAAGGAGGTCTTCAGGGTTTGGAGGAGGGTAGGCTCTTCAGGGTCAGGGGAGAGCCTACAGGGGCAGGAGTGGGTCTGTGTTCCTGGGTAGTGTGTTCTGTCCGGGTCTGAGGCTGGTGGCATGCTGGGGTCACCTGGTGAAAATGCATTATGCTTGCTGATACTCCTGATTTTTACTCCTTTCTGTGGTTATTTAAAAATTTTTTAAAGTTTATTTTGAGAGAGAGAGTGCAAATGGGGAAGGAACAGAGAGAGAGAGAGAGAAGACCCCAGGCAGGCTCCTCACCATCAGTTCAGAGGCTGATGTGGGGCTCAAGCTCATGAACTATGAGATCATGACCAGAGTTTAAGTCGGATGCTTGACCAACTGAACCACCCAGGTGCCCCTCTTTTCTGTGGTTATTATACTTCAAAAAAAAAAAAAACAAAACCCTGAATATGTCTGGGATTCGGGGAAGGGAGAAAACCACCCTTTGAAGAATACACTTGAGTTTTCTAGAGGGAGCCCAACCTGAGTGCTGTGAGGGTTCCTTTCACAAAGTTAGGGCCCTCTCAGTCAAGAGCTTGAAGAATTTGGGTAGAGGACGGGTGGCACGTCTTCTAAAGCCTTTCTTATTTTAAGTAATGGATACAGCTGGGAAGGGGGAAGGGCCTTCGATGTTGGAGGGTCGAGTCCACAGGGGCTCAGGTGACGCGTGTGTCCACAACTCTGCCAGCTGGGCCACCGAGCACGTGTTTCAGGAATCCCGCTGAGGGGGACCAAAGATCAGACAGGAGCTGAGGGGCTGGCCGCCATCTTCCTCCTTAAGGACCATGGCAGTCACCTGACACCAGTGATGAGTTCTGAGCAGTCTGTCTGCGATGCACGTGGGTCAGAGGTGGGGAGGATGGGTTGAGAACCCTCATAAGTACTGCACAGAAGGAGTGGCTGCCAATCACATCTTGAGAAGACTCAGGTTAGTTAAGGTGATGAATGCCAGGCTAACAGGAGGCCCTGGGAACCCAGGCCAAGGAACCACGAGGTCTGGGATTTAGGCCTGTGCCTGGGGCACTTCTCTGTTATTTTTCCCACCTCCTCTCTCTGGTCCTCAGTTTCCTCCTTCTGAAAAGTGAGGGGAAAATCCTCTTAGTTTGACGTTCTGGGATTCTGTAGTAGACATTGATGTTTTGCCTGTCTGGAGTCCCTGTCCTCCCTTTTTGGTCCTCGTCTTCCATTTTCCTGGCCCTAACAACTGACTCAGGAAATGAGGATTTGTGCCACAGATATGTGTGTAAGAGATGGAATAGTGTGTGTGTAACAGAGGACAGGGGTGTGTGAATGAGATGGATGGTGTATAAGATCCTAGTCAGTGGTGGCTATCAGAATATTGCTTCATGACCAAAACCACAACTACGCCTCAAGATCATCAGTCACAGGAAAGATGACCATTGTGACAAAGATAGCCAACCCTGCCTGCCCCGCTGCCCCCCCCCCCCCCCGGGGGAGATGGCAAGGACTCCCAGGCAGAAGCTGTTTCCTGCCAGAGGGCTACTAAATCCCTTCTAGATCTAGGATTCTGTGGCTTTCAAGGTTCTATGATTCTCTGATTTGAAGTGTGAAACCTACAGCCACTGACTCAATGTAAATCTATTCAGAAGTTAAATCTGCAAAGGAATACTGCTCCGTGTGTGTGCCTGTGTGAGTATGTGCTGGTGTGGGGGCATGTGTTGTCCTTGTCAGCTGTCCACGTGACCAGGTGGTGTCCTGGGGCCCCGGCAGGGTCAGGGTGAGGGGGTTGGGACCGCCTGCCATGGGGCAGGGGACTCTCCAAGGGATGTCAGCGGGCTGGTGGCCCTTGAGTCAGGTAGGCAGGACGTGGGGCCAGCAGGTCTGTCCACAGATGGCACAGACCAGCCCCCTTTAGCTGGCCCCCAAGGCAGGCTGAGCAAATAAGACATGGTGACCAGAAACAGAAGGCCACCTAGACACGTGGGGGACAAGTGTCGGGAGGCCCCACTGTCCTGGATGTGGTGAAAGAGGCCAAGTGACTGGAGAGCAAGGGCCATTCCTGTCCCTTAAGTCCCTGCAGGTGAGCCTGGAGGAGGGCTGGGGAGAGGGTGAGGGCAGAACCAGAAGACACTATCATTTCTAATTTGAAAGTTAAAAATTCCATCCATTTTTCCTTTTTTTTTTTTTTCTGTTCTGAACAAAGCTTGCTTCTATCTCCGGTTTCCTCGCCTTTGCAAGGTGGGTGACAATTTGATGACCATGTGTGTAAAGCATCTCTCACAAAGCCTGCCCACAAGTGACCTCCTGCTCAGAGGGAGTTCTTTCAATTAGTGATACTGATATTGAAAATGTGGATATGTTCCCTGCCCTGAGTGTGGAGAAATATCACCCTCAATTCCTCCTCCTACATTAGTCAAAACAGTTCCCATAAATGCCCAGGGAAAGGCAGACATCACTTCCTCGAGGGCAGCTCATCTCATCATCAGCCTGGCAGATGAGCCTGGAGACAGTGGCCTGTGGGCTGGTGAGCACTGGCCAGCAGAAAGTGGATTCGGCTTGCCGGAGTGTGACCTGGTCACTTGAGTTGGCTTCAGCCAGCATCATCAGACAGCCGGGTCCTACCTCCATCTCCTGCTCCAAGGTGAGCTCCCGCTCCAGGCTGCACTCCACCATCTCTGTGGTCACAGGGAACTTCTTGGGCAGCTTTGTGCAGCGCTGGATCAACACCGGGTTGCAGCCATTCAGGAACTGGTAGCCAAACATGAGGTCTTCCTGCCAGTGCTTCATGACTCGCTCTGTGGGGGAGAAGATCATGGCCCTGCTTGAGCTCTGAGTGGGGGCAGCCCGGGCTGTGGCCCTCCCGACCTGGGCGGAGGGCCAGAGTCCCTGCTGGGTCCCTTCTCCCAGGTGTTTGCCAGACAGCTGGTCAACCTGGCACTCTGCTTGCTGTGCCCAACTGCTTGACCATTGGGGCAGGCCATGGCACCGCCTTGTCTTCCCTGAGCTGCCCTTGGTGGTGCAGAAGGATCCAGAGGAATTCCCTTCTCAAGAACAAAACCAAAAATAGACAAATAGGATCACATTAAGTTAAAAACCTGCACAGCAAAGAGAACAGTCAACAGAGTGAAAAAACAACCTGCAGAATACAAGACATTTGGAAACTGCACATCTGATAAAGAATAATCTCCAAAATAGATAACTCCTACAACTTCATACCAGCAAAACCCACTAATAACCTGATTAACAAATGGGCAAAGGACTTGAACAGACATTCTCCATAGAAGACATACAAATAAATGGCAGGTATATGAAGAAATGCTCAGTGTCACTAAGCATCAGGGAAATGCAAATCAGAACAATGAGATATTGCTCACACCTGACAGGATGGCTATTATAAAAACAAAAGACAAAAGGTGTTGGTGAGGACATGGAGAACCCAGAACCCTTGTGCATGGGTTGGTAGGAATACAAAATACTTGGCCGATGTGGCAAACAGTAGGGTGGCTTCACAAAAAAATTAAAATAGAACTACCATAGGAGTCAACGAGCCTGCTTCTGAGTATTTGTCCCAAAGAATTAAAACAAGGATCTAGAAGCAATATCTGTACTCCCATGGTCACTGCAGCATACTTCATTAATAGCCAAGATATGAAAAGAGCCTAAGTGTCCACTTACAGAGGAAAAGATAAAGGAAGTGTGCTGTATACATCTAATGGGATACCATTCAGCCTTAAAAAAAAAAAAAAGGATATTTTGCAATATGTGATGAACGTCGTGGATGAACGTGGAGGACATTATGCTAAGTGAAATCAGGAAGACAAATACGGCATGATCCCATGTACATGTGCTATGTCACACAGCCAAGCTCATAAAATCAAGGAGTGGGATGGTGGCTGCTGGGGGAGGGGAAATGGGGAGATGCTGATCAGTGAGCATAACGTTTTAGTTAAGCAAGATGGATATGTTCTAGAGATCTGCTGTACAACATTGTGCCTATGGGGGGGGCAGGGAGAAGGGACTCACCTCCTTCTGCCCAGGATGGAGGGAGGAGGGGGAAGGAGGGGAGCAGAAGGGGGATCTTGGGGAGGAGTCTTCAAAGGCAGTTTTCACCTGGTGCTTACTTCAATACCCATTCCTCACCCATCATTCCCGTTTCCCTGTCTTTCTGTTGCCATGTTTTCCTTCTTGTGCCACGCCTGGCGAGTACGATGCTGTTGTTCCACCAAACACATCCTAGTCCAAGGGCGCCCAATGTCGCTTTTATGTAAATCCTTAAAACACAAGCTACATTCTGCCTTTACTCTGCTCAGAAGTGTCACAAATGGCCGATTCATGTAAGCACAAAGCTCTGATATTTCTGAGACTTGATGATGAAATGAGGGTGAGGGTGTTCGGCCTTGAATGTCCAAGGAGGAGAAACCTCTGGGCGTGAAGGTGAAGGCCAGGGAACGGCGGGGCCTGGGGCAGGGGTGCCCAGCCTGTCGAGCCAGCCGCTGGGCCAGAGTGGGGCGGGACAGCCCTTTCAGTTCCCAGGGAAGTCTCCCCAGCCCCACAAGCGACCCCAAAGGCACACTCACCTGAAATAGTGTTGCTGATCTTGACGAAGATTTTCTCGAAGTCAGCGAAGTCGCTCCAGGAAGACTGGAACATGTGCATGAAGCGGTTGATGAACAGGTTCTCCATCCTGCAGACCAGGAGACAACGTCCCTGCTCACACTGCTCTGGCCCTGCCCCTTCTGCAAAGCCCTCATACTGTGGTCTCATGAGGCCTCCAGACACCTCCAGGGCCACAAGGAACTGAGCCCGGGGCAGCTCTGAGGGGGCAGCTTGTGGAACCAGGACAGAGATGGTTACCTACACCTGCATCTCCCCTGTGAAAGAGACCGGCCGCTGCCCTTGAGAACAGTCTACAGCACCTCCAATCCCATCCACGCCTGCTTTCGTCCATGCCTTCATTCATTCATTCATCAAACTTCTGCTGCCCCCACTCGGTGAGAAGCTTCCAGGCACAGAGCGCTACTATCTCCTGTGCAGCTGCTCTACCTAGTCTCCTGGGGTCTTAGGGGATGAGCGAGTCCATTGAATGTATCCCTCATTTACTCTCTGCTGAACTCTGGCTCTGTGCCTTGTCCTCAGGGACACAGTTTTCCAAATGTTCATGACACAGGATAGCAAAATAAACCAGGACAGGATAGGAGCTTGATGAATTCAAAATGCAGGCTGCAGGCACTCAAGAGTGAGATCTGAGTGGCCTGAGCAATCCTAGGGGCTGGCTGGAGGAGGCGACTGTGGGATGGGCCTGGGAAGGGTAGGGGAGAGTGAGAGAGGTGTTCCAGACTTCCCTACTAACTCAAGCAAGATGGAGGACAGAGGCTAGGGAATTCTGACCAGCGCTCATGGGACCCACTCTGCCTCATTTCTCTGGCACACCCACTCCTGAGGATACCAGGCAGTTATGTTTCCTCCCCACTGTCAAGGCTCACTGTCCACTCCTCCAGAGTTCAAGCCTCCTACCTGTGCCGCCTTTTGTACGTCCTCGCTTGGGGCCTTTGCCTGTGCTGTTCCCTACACCTGGAATGCCCAGTGCCCCTTTTGTCACCTCCTGAGCCTACGGGGTGAGTGTGTCTGGAGGGCTCGCCTGGAGTGCACCCCACTCCTCCTTTGATTTCAGGTAAGCCACCCCTACCCCAGACCCCCGGGGCACCTGTGATGCTGTGTCTGCAGTGCTGACGGCAGATTTCCTACAGTAAACACAATACCTGCCTCTACCTCAGTCACCTGGAGGGCAAGGGCGTGTCTGCTTTGCTCCCTGCTGAGCCTTGACCTCTAGGAGCTCCAGTGGCTCAGGCAGCAGGGGTCCCTGAGCAGGGTGGTGCAAATACCTGGGGCAGGGAACCAAGCTGGCTGGTGCTCCTCCAGGGAACTCCCCTTTCTACCCACCCACCTCCCAAGCAGGACCAGCAGAGCCCCACCCGTCCCAGAAGCGGCAGCCCTAACCCTAACTCCTTGGACTCACTACTTGGGGGATGAGGGGGGCGGGGGAGGTGCTGCCTGAGGCCCGAGTGCTGTCACAGAACGGTTCAGGAGTTCCAAAGCCACCTCACAACTTTGCCAGCAGAATCAAAGGACTGCGGTTTGGGTGTTTTGTCCGGAGTGAACCTGGCTCATGGGGACAGAGAGCTGTCCCATTGCAGGTGAGGCAGCAGGGAGCACGCACGAGGGCAGCAAGTCTGAGTGACTGAATGCAGGAACTGGGCAGATGAGCAGGAAACTCCAGGGCCCCTCCCGGCCCTGCCAGACATGGAAAAGGCACCGGAGGCAGAACATGACACGCCTTTAGGACTCCCCTTCGGACCCTCCCTCAGTCTAGCAAATGCCACCCTGGGACCCCTAGGAGCCCACACTGCTCAGGAGTGAGCCGAGGGGCCACAAGCCTGGTAACCTCTGTGGGCCTTGACTTCTCCTCTGTGAGTTGGATGACCCAGCTGCCTGAGGCTACTGAGTGGCTGCAGTCCCTGGAAGGTGCTGGAGTGCAGCCTGGGCAGTGTGGCAGACACAGCAGGTGCTCAGCACCTCGGGCTGGAGAATGACACTGGAATCTTCTCTGGGCTGGTATCTTCCACCCTTCTATCCCAGCCCCTCCCCAGGAAGGAGGACCTGTTACATACATGCTTTGTTTTTTGTTTTTGTTCCTCACCCCCCACCCCACATTTATTTTACACACTTGCTTTCGTGCCTCACCACTGCCAGGCAGCCCCCCAGCAAAGCTTCTTTCAGCCTTGTTACCCCTTCCTCCTCTATCTCCCCTGTCAGCTGAGCCTCCTGGGACAGGAGCCACTGTTAAACTAGAGGAGTAAATTTCCTTGTGACACCCACTGGCAGATGGAAAAGAACTCATTTCTGAGGGAGGAGAGCCTTCCCAGGCCTCTACAATCCTGGCAGCCCCAGCACTGCTCAGTACTAGATGGTGCCCAGGAAAGTGGTCTGCGGCCCTGGAAGATCTTGTGAGGAACCGGGGGTGAGTCATAGCCCCACATGGCTCATGGTCTCCTCAGCTGGGTCTCTTTGACTTCAAAACAGAAGGTTGGCACTGAAAACAGGGTGGGGTGTAGCACTGCTCGGAGGAAGCCACAGACTCAGAAAGAAGTGGAATTAGGAGGAAAATATTTGCATGTCATCTGCAGGCAAAATATTTCCACCTGCTCATACACAATGGGAATGCTGGGGCTTCAAAGTTCTGTTACTGCACAGAGGAACTGCCCAAAAGAGGGCTCTTGGCTCATTCAAGGTCACACAGCCAGGCGGAACTGTGCTTGCTCTGCGCCAAGACAGGTAAGAGCTTGTTTCCTCTGCTTCCCCTGCCCCTTTCCTTCTACGGCTCCTCCATTTTTCCACCTCACAGTTTTACTGTTTGGAGTTGGGAGCAAGGCTTACTGAGGAGGGCCGGCCACATTCCAGTCAGAGCAGGTGGCCTGGAGGAAACAAGTCACCAGAGTTACCCAGAAGTGGCATGGAAACGACTGCCCAGAGCTGGAAGTTCAGTGAGGAGGGTGTCTCTGGTGACCTCAGCCACAAGTTTGTTTTCCGCAGGCCAGACTGGGTTTAACCACGGGCAGAGCGGCACGCTATGGCGTGGGCTATGGGGACACTGGCTAACTAGGCTCTGGGTCTGTGGTTTCTATCAGGAACTGTCCATGCACAGAGGACTGCCAGACACTGGTTGGGGTTCTGAGACCCCCTGACCCAAGTGCTAGGGTTTGGACACAAATCTGCATGAGGCTGGGAGTCCCTGACAGGTGGCAGCTGAGATGGTAGCGTCAGCACAGGATGTTAAGGGTCTGGCCTAAGATACCAGCCCCATCATTTCCCAGCCATGTGGCCCTGGGCAAGTCCCTAATCTTGGCTGTGGCTTGGTTTTCTCACCTATGAAATGGGCACATGGCTGCCCCTGCCTCACAGGGCTGACAATGTACAGAAAACACTGGTACATAAAAAGAGTTCCACAAACATTAGCAAGTAGTGCCATAATTATCACTCACTGTTAATATTAAAGGCTGCAGCCTTAGGCACTGGCATTCTGGGGGACCAGCAGACAAGTTCAAAATCCTGTCTGCAGCTCAGCACTTTACCCTCTTCCTTTTTTTTTTTTTTTTTTACACAAATAGTTTATTGTCAAGTTGGTTTCCATATAACACCCAGTGCTCATCCCCACAAGTGCCCTCCTGCATGCCCATCCCCCCACCTCCCCCCACCTCCATCAGTCCTCAGTTTGTTCTCAGCATTTACCCTCTTACTTCTGCTGGGTCTTCCTATCTAATCCACTCATCTTTCTTCCTTCACACCCAATTCAGAGAAGAATTTTTACCTCCTTCCTGGTCTTTTCTTCCTGTTCTCTTTGTCCCCTGAAAGTGCTCTCATCCAGGGCAGTGGTAACTTCCTAGTGGAGGCCCTACAGCCCTAACCATCCCAGTCTCTTTAGTACATCTGACAACCAGCTCCTTTCTTCTTGACATTACAATGCTGAGACTCTTGGATCACCACGGTCCTGTCCCCCTCACCCCCCTACTCAGGTAAAGGCTAGATTCCTTGCCCACCTTCTGACCTTGATAGCCTCAGCCCCATATCCCCACGCAGGCCTCTACTCTGGTCCCCCTGTCTCACCAGAATTCTCACTGCCTAAAATGCCATCTCCTCTACTCTTCCAATCAGCATAGTAAACTCCTATGCATCCTTTAAAACCCAGGTTGGGCATCTCTCTTGGAAAGCATTTTTCTAATGCAGTACCCCCAGGGTTACTTCCTCCCCTGCCTCAAGCTTCCCCAGCACTCCTTTCCTAAGGAATAGCTACATGCTATTATGATGAACTATCCACAACTTGGTCCCCACTAGACTGTGAGCTTCTTGGAGCTGGACCAAAAGGCCACTTTTGATTCATCTCCAGCCCCACCCCCCAGGAGCTCAATAAGCATTTGTCAAAGAGGAGCAGCAATGGCTCCTCCAGCCCTGCTCCCATGGGGGTAGAAGAAGCCCAGAAGAGCTAGCAAATGGGCAGTGACAGTGCCTGAGAAGGCAGCTCCCCGGCTGGGCTCCTTCCTTGGGCTCAGGAATGAGGAGAAAGTCCTCCTTAGCACCCAGAATGGAGACACTAGAGGGAATTCACCTATGGTGTGCCAGACACCACCATGGGGGCACTGCATACATGAGTTCATTTAAATCTCGTAATTCTAGCAGCTCAGCATCACCAGCCTCATATTATAGAGAGGAAAGCGAAATAACTCTCCCAAGATGACACAGCTAGAGTGTGAATCAACCCTGGCTGCCAGGCTCTAAATAAACCCACCTTTTGCTTTAAAGGGTACCAAGTGATGAGTTGATACTTGTTACTGTAATTTTAATAGATGAATAGATTTTTTTCCCCCAGGAAAGCAAAGTACAACCACTTGCTACTCTGAGTTTGGTTGAGGGACCAGCACGAGTGCTTGCTGGGAATGCAGACTCTCTCCCCACTCGGACTCCCTGATCAGAACCTGTGTTTACCGATGTCCCACGCAGATCCGCATGCATGAGAATGCATGAGAGAGGGTATTTGGACTCCTGTTCCCTTACTGGGAAGCCTGGCTGTTTGTCCTTACCACCTTAAGCAAGGATGGCTGGGTTCAGCTGCCCAGTGTCCAGGAGGAGCCC